TGAGCTTATTCAAGAGCTATGAGGTCTTGCTCAAGATTTTCAGCAGAGTGACATGAACCGTGTGTCTCAGGAAATCTCCCTCTTACCTGAGTGCATGGCCTAGTGCACGGCAGCTGAGGGCTTGGTGGGTGGGAAGAAACCGTGACTGTGAGTGGTGAGGAGCCACGAGCTCCTGCAGTGATTCGGGGTGGAGGGAGGGAGGAGGCCTTGGTTGTAAGAAATGTTAAAAGAGCTGGGCCTGCAGTGCTTGGATTAATCAAAACATCTTTGTGAACTGTTTAGATTAACTCTATATATGCTACACCACATTTTCTAATAAAAATGTTGCAGAACTGGACTCAAATTAAATACCAACCGTAGAAGGCTGATGGCTTACTGAATGTTCACTCCATGCCTGATAAGTTTATAATCAATGAGAAGTCTAAATATTTCTTGATGAATCTCCCTTTGAAGTCAGATTGCTCAATGGGTATATCATGATATGGTAGAAATAGTGGGAAAGGTTTTGGCCTTTCAACCGGGAGCAGCAGGAAAGTACTGACTCACTGGGAGTGTGCGTAGTGAAACAGGTAAGTGCAACTTCGAGGATGGCTCATCCTCAGAGGTGGGGAGTGGGGTGCAGCAGTGTGGAAACATAGTATGTCCTTCTTGACTATTTGAAGTTACTTGTCTATACTGATGGAACACTGAGAGATTATTCCTAATGCAAGCTTAAAGAAATTTAGAGCAAATACAGAACTGGGGACTGTAGGAATTAAACTCTCATGATAGAGCACAGGACTCGCTAGCCACTGTCCAGGTGGTCCAGAACAGAACAAGTGGGAGGTCGGACCGGTTCACTAACCTACCTGTTTTGTTCATTCATTCTTCTACTTTGCATTCCACTACTTTGTATTGAGGGGCCCTGTGTTTGACTGATTTGATGTACAGTGCTAAGAGGCAATTTTCACTGTCCTTAAAGAGCACTCAGTTCACTGGGGAAGACTGTAGAGCCATCAACAAATTGCTTAGCATGCCACTGTTTGAGTACAAGAAATCTGGAAGTAAGTTGAAGAGAAATTAAAATTAAAAGAAGAATATCTTAGCTCCTTTGTAAGACTAGTTTTTTATACCTTTAGTAGACAAAGCTGGAGCACCTTAATTCAAATAAAAAGAACCAATGTCAATAGTTATGTGATAATATATTGCCACCTGTGGAAACATAGAATAAATATGATGCTAGCCAAATCCAAACTGTCTTTAAAGGAAATGCATACAATAAATATCAAAAACCACTCATCTCTGACTATGATCACAAGTATCAAATATTTCATCCAGAACCTCACAAATGATTTGCCAGAGCATAAAGAAAAGCTTAAATTTGAAACAGTGCCTTTAAAATAATCTTCGTTCATTGACTCATATATTTTTAACCATAAAGGTAAGGATGTATTAGAAGAAAATTGGGAAAAGAACTATAGAATATAAAAAATTCCACGCTTTTCTTTAAAGCAAAATTGTGAGCAATTAAATTCCAAACAAAAAAAAGCCTAAACGGTCTGGTGGTGCGTGCCCTGGAGCTGGTCGTGGCTGATGCTCGTGTGTGTCCTTCAGCTCTAACAGGCCCTGGCCTCGTTCGCATGGTGGCAGTCTGTGCTGAGTCCATCGTGAGGCACCTAGACAGCTTGGAGGAGGTCACCAACACGTCAGGCAACGTGGACGTGCTGACCCTCATGAGATGCATCATGCTGGACACCTCTAACGTGGTCTTCCTAGGGATCCCTTTGGACGGTATACGTGTTTTCATTCTTATGACTTGACATCCTGCCCTTTATTAAACAAAGCAATGAGTGCAACAGCCAGCTAAAGGGGACACACACTGTTATACTGCTCTGGACTAAACATTTTTAATTGTCCTGAAGGTATTTCCCCTAGTGTGTTTGCCCTGTTCTTTTATAGGATGTAAACGTCTAGAACGTAGGGTTGTACTTCTTTTGTCTCTCTCTTCATTGCTCTGGGAAACTGGCTTTTCTCCCAGCCAAACCCTATTGGTCTAGCTGGTCATAAAGATATCTTATCACAAGAACACAGACACATTTAACTCACTCATGTGCAACCTGTGGCCCACCAATTTTTGTCCTACTTTTCTCTGAGTAAAGAGGAATTGTCTTGGGCTACAAATAAAATAAATAATACAGTTAAAGTGTATATGTAACAAAATTTCCTTTAAAAATCATTTTAACGCTTTTAAAAAGAGAGCCGAAAGGAAAAAGAGACTGACACGATTTCCCACTGTTCCCAATGGCGTGACATATACATTCCTACACATATTTATATGTGCACACACATCCTTCCCCAGAGCTACTACATATGAAAACTTGATTTTATCTGTACGTTAAAAATGCTGGTGGTGGTAGTGATGTTGCTTCTGCGGATATAAATGATGATGACAGCTGCCATTACTTTCGTACCCACTGTGTAAAAATAGTTTGAAAATTTGCTTTATGCACGCTTGTCATTTAATATTTGAAACAGCGTGGAAAAGATGTTTCACTTTCTTCACTATGTTCCAGAAATGATTATTAAAACATATGCATGCAACTCCATAAACACCAAAAGTGAACAATCATTAGATGAATTCCAGTCTGCTCTGGAAATCAAATATATCCAGGTTAATGTGCTTTTTCCTGAATTAGTTTATAACAGTGTTCACTGATTCATACATTTATTCAACAGATGCTTACTGGTTGCCTACTTCCTGCTAGGCACTGTTCTAAGTTCTAGGGACAGAGCAGTAAGAAGACAACTAACATCTTTACTTGCAAGGAGCTTACATTCTAGTGAGGATATGGACAGCAAAACAAGTCAATGTTAAAAAAAACTATATATTAGGCAACACTAAGTGCCTTGAAGTAAAACACAAAACAGGGTAGGAGGACAGAAAGCAAGGGGGAACAACAGGAGCGGGTCTGTCTATTGCAGAGTGGGAGGTCAGGCAAGGCCTCTGTGGACAGGACATTTGCACGCCGCCTGAATGAAGTGAGGCCCTGAGCCATGTGCAGACCCGAAGGGAGAACATTCCAGGCAGAAGAACACTGCACAGATTTTAACTCTTGTCAAGCCAGCTGAGCCCTAACGCACTCTGTCTGATTCACCACATTTAGATAAACAGATGCACCACAAGCCCTTCCTTTCTCATGCCTAACGCCCTGCCTTGTCTCCACTACTCTGACCAGTCCTTACAGGCGCTGTAAACAAACTGCACCTGACTGGCTTTTTGATAAAAGCCCCCATTTACTCTGAACATTTTCAGTCACACCCTCTCACCTGATCTCCTTCTAACCTGTTCTACATATACCTCTGCTCAAGCAGGCAGAAACATGACATCACGGCCTCACCCCTTGGTTCACACAAGCCTCTATCATTAGGAAGGATCACGTGAAAACACTGCACCTCTCTCTGTTACCCTGTGGGTTCAGACTCTGACGCCAGAGAACCTGCTATAAGCCCTATGGGGTTCTTCATTTCCCTTTATGCTGAGTACTTGTTAAACTCTTGCCTATGGGATTCAATACAACAAAGGAAGGACATTGCCCCGAGATCAGACAGAACTGGGCTCCAGTCTGACAGCCTACCTGACACACTCGCTGTACAGTGAAGCTCATGTTTCTTAACCTCAATGAATTGCAGTTTCTTCGCCTGCAAAGTGATGAAGACACCACCACTTCCTTGGTAAGATTATAAAGACTAAATTTAAAATCTCTTTTGTAAAATACCCAGCACAGTTAAAGTTCAAAACAAATGTTGGTTCCTTCCCATTTGTATAAATGTGATATAATTTTTTAAATAGCAAAGGTTTTCTTTTCTCTAATATTCAATTTAATTGAAAAGAAATCACTTAGTACTGAACATGTATGAAGCTCTGGAAAAGGTACTGAAGAAATTAAGATGAATTCTAAAATCTTCACAAATATACATAAATATGAAAGCTATGTGATAAGGGCTATGAGACAATGTGTAAAGGACTCTGAAGTGATAATATAATTAGGAGTTACTAATGAGGTGTATAATCCCAGGGAATTGTCCACTTAATATTGGCTCTGCTTACCCAACATCAAATGCAGTGACTGTTTTCAGCGTGACAAGCTCAGCTTTTTGCTCTCCCAGTTTCTAGAATCATGGCCACAGCAGCATTAATTACTAGTACCCTCTGTCCATAAAAACAGGAGAAAGCTGGAGGTTCAAAGGAAGAATGAAACATTTTAGGCTATCTCAAACACAAATTTGAAAAGTCAGAACTCCCTGGTTATCTTGGCCCAATTAGATGTGGAGGGAATAAGTGAGTGCTCGGAATGTCTATTGGCATTCAGGTGCACAAATCACCAATGATGATGGAACTGTGTGTTCTCAGCTTAGAAGCCCACACTGGTCAGTCGGAGAACCTACAGGGTATGTTCGAGCCTCACAGCGCTCTTCTCAGGCTTGCATTTTATTCACTCACTCTGTTTTTGGTTCTGTTTTCTAGAAACTGCCATCGTCAGGAAAATCCAGGGTTATTTTGATGCATGGCAAACTCTCATTATCAAGCCAAACATCTTCTTTAAGATTTCTTGGCTCTACAAAAAGTATGAGAAGCCTGTGTAAGTAGCACACATCTGAACAGTTCACGAGTGCACTCGGACTGGGTTTTGTGTGTCTTTGCTGTGTTGGCCTCTGGTAAGGTTTATGTTCTCCAGAGTCCACAGGACTCTAATGCTTAAGTTTCTGATGAAACACTTAGACCCATGTGGTGGCTTCTGGCCAGACAGCTTCTCACCATGGAGCCCAGTGTGTGGTCTGACAGCTCATCTCTAGAATGAGGTCACTGCTGTTTATTTTAAGCGGAAGAAAAGTGTTGCCTGATGCTATCATTAATGTTTATCAGAGCTTTCTTAGCCTATCTAGAAAACTGGAAGAATATAATCAATTTATAGTTGTGTTGCTTTAATTAATTTACCGAATTTGAATAACTGACAGTTCCAAATTATATTCATAGTTCCATTATATTCATAATGAATATAATGAACTTCAATAAAAAATGTGGGGATGTTTGTTATATATCTTGTGATTTGGGGGCCCTGAAGCTACCATTAAATAGCTCTGTTTAGTCTTAGACTAGTCCAGTAGAAAATGGGACAAATGACCAATAGCCTACAGAATAGCTAGAAGGTTTTTAAGAGTGTAAGTAGCCACTACACACTGCCCTCTACTCATCAGTGGAAAGCTCCGGGGATCCAGAGGCAGAACATTGTGGTTTGCTTCTTAAATTCTTCACTCAAAAACAAATGGCTTTGGGAAGTCATTTCAAGTAAAAGATAACCTACCTTCCAGAGTAAGGGTATAGATTAAGAAGATCATGTACGCAGGTCAAGTACCCCACAGAGTAACGTACAGTGGCCACTAAATATCATAGTTTCCCCTGTCCCTGTGTTCATATCTTCATGCTGAGTCCCTTGATCATCTTAAACTTTCCACCTCTAAAAGGTCACAAAGTTATATGAAATCCCCACTTTATCCTTTTCATGGATTTGAAATTCAATACTTAATCTCTAGGAAGGAATCCAACTTCACATTGCTTTGCACAGTCTGTGATTGGTATTAGGTAGACAATCTGGAGACCAGTTCTTTATACACTTACTGTTGTTTCCACAGGGCCTGTTTTGACTTGAATCATTTAGATAAAAGGGTTCTCTTTCATTTGGTTAGATTTGGTGGTGGTGGTACTGGTGATCTGAAGAGTCAAATTATGTATTTCTTGGTCATTAGGTTAGCTTTGATCTTAGGGACTGGGCCCACCCAAACTTATAACACAAGACTGTTAACATTTCTCTTCTATTTGTAGAAATCAGCTCAGCAACTTTCGGTCTATATGTGACATTTGCCAATGGTTAGGGTACTCATTTATATCTCCTATGCCCCAGACTAGTAAAAACCGAGAGAAACCTTTTAATCCCACCCCACTATTCCCTTTTAAAATAATGCCAATACTTTTAAAAAAATATACTTTGAACAGGATACTTGGACACCTGCCTTCATCTCTACTCAATTTTATAGTATTTTGCCGCTTTCAATTCCAAATATAGCAATATCATATTCTTTTTCTTTTAGCAAGCTGAAGACTTTTCAGCCACACAAACCTTAAATAGGTGTTTGTAGAATAAGCTGGTCTGCCAGCCATAATTATCTTAGGGGAAAATGTATTCAGAATTTTAAAAATCCAACTCAAATGCATCCTGTAATAGGTGCTTAGAGCTCAAAGGCTTCCTATTCCCTGAAAACCGCCAGTGATTGAATTCTCCCAGTTTTGAAGAGCATATGAATACAGAGCATGCATCTATGTAGGGGCAACTTTTTACCTGAACAAGAGCATTCACAGGCCACTGCTGCAAAATCTTGGATGATAGCTCAGGGAGGAAGGATCTGCTCAGTAGCGGCTCCAGTTCCATGAAAGAACTTTATGGATTCAGAGTCTAAGGCGATTGTAACACCTCCTGGGCCATTCTGGGGCCAATACTCAGGTAGAAATGCTATCAACACTCCAAGCCTGTGGGAAAGGCGGAACATATCCCAGCAACTGAGTGAATATCTGTCCTTTGTATGTTCAAATTGCTCAAAAAACATGTGCTGAATACCTGAATGGATAGATGAATGAGTGAATGTGAATACATTTTTTGTTAATATCTGGAGGTTTGTGTGTGTGTGTGTGTGTGTGTGTGTGTGTGTGTGTTTTGGCACACTCAGAGAGATACACAATACATGTATCCTTGTTTAGCGAAACATAATTGCTATATAGCCTGAAAAATATCTCTCAAAATGTTTAACTACCTTCCTTATGATGCCCTAAGAAACTTTAAAACTGAAGTGGAACAGTTGGGACACTTCTTGAATATTCTTCCCTTACTTCTCCTACTAGCTGCAGTGAGCATTAAGACTATTTGTATCAACAACATCCACAGATTATTTAAGTGTATAGGTGACAATGCAAACAGGGATGTGAAAGAAAGATTTAGTATACATTTATTGTAATTCAGAGTATTTTCTCCTGGGAACATACACACTTAAGGACAGAAAGAAGAATAGCAATTTAGATCTCATGATGGTGCCACTGTCTGTTGAGTCTGATCCTTTCACTTGGCAAGAGGCACAGTGCTCCCAGGCCTAACGAAGGTTACACAGAAGAGAAGGACCTGAGCTAGAACCATACCTTCTGTCCAAGGGGCTCTGCCTGAGATTGCACTGTGCAAATGCTTACTATCTTTGTACAGGCAAGCTCTGTCTCAACAAATACCTTGTACAGAGGTCATATGAGACTAAATGTCAATACCATCAAGGACATTCATTTCACCAAAATTCATTGTCTACAACAGGAATCTCAAACTTGACTGTGTGCCCTGTGCATACCTGTAATCCCTGCTACTCAGGAGGCTGAGGCAAGAGAATTGCAAGTCCAAGGCCAGCCCGGGCAGCTTAGTGAGACTCCGTCTGAAAAGAAAAAATTAAAAGGACTGGAGATGTAGCTCAGTTGTAAAATGCCCTTGGTTTCAATCCCAATCACTGAATAAACACACACACACAAACACACACCCTCAATCTCAATAGCCTTCAGGGCCAGGCAGATCAACTTTTGCTGCTGTATGGCTATAAGAAAACAGGAGATGGAAGTGTTTGTGGTAAACAGAAAAGCATATGCAACCACTCAAAACATCTGGATTTTTAAATGAAAGACTGCACCTGTCAAATCAGAAGTTGCAAGACATGGTTGGATTTAGCCTTTCGTATGAGATGTATGTGACAGGAAGGTTTTAGATTTTATTTAAATCCCCTCAATTTCTTTTTTTAAATTTTATTGGTACATTTTAGGTATTCAATATAATGACATTCATCATTGGAAATTTGCACCTTTACATAATCTCTCTTGGTTCTTAATTTTTCCCCATTCTCCTGCCCTTCATCAACACTTTCATCCCTCCCTATTTTCAAGACTTTGTTTCCATTTTTCATTTTCTCATATTAATTCCATTCCCTTCTTTCCTTTCCCTGACCCCTCCCACTTCCCCTTCCACTTTGCCTCTTTTCTTTTTATTTCACATTATCTATTATACCTTTTAGTCCTTATTTACACTTTCAGTTTCTCATACTAAAGAAACTATTCAGTATTTACACATGTCCTATTTATTTCACTTAAGAGAATCGCCTCAATGTGCATCCATTTAGCTATGTCTCTAATTTCTTGTTTTTTATGGCTGAGTAGTACTCCATTTTATAAAAAACCAACATTTTCTTTTTTCTATTTTTTTTTGGTACCAGGGATTGAACTTGGGTCCTTCTGGTTGCACAGCAGGTGGTGAAAACACAGAGCTAAATCCCTGGCCCAACAACATTTTCTTTATCCAGTCTGCAGTTGATAGGCAATTGGGCTGCTTCCAAGTTTTAGCTATTACACATTGTGCTCCTATGAGCATGGGTGCACA